CAGAAGACTGGAATGGAGTGGGCTTGAGTGGGCTGCAGCAGACTTGACTGGAGTCGAATGGTCCATCTGCTCTGCTCTACTCTACTCTAATCTGCTCTACCCTACCCTACTCTACTCCACCTGACTACTCTGCTCTACTCTGCTCTGCTCCACTCTATTCTACTCTATTCTACCGACTCTACTCTACTTTACCATCTTCCCTACTCAACTCTGCTCTGCTCCATGATATCCCACTCTACTCGACCCTATCTACCCTAGCCTACTCTACTCTACTCTACTTTAACCTACCCTACTCTACTCTACTCCTACTCTCCTCTACTCCTACTCTCCTCTCCTCTGCTCTACTCTCCCATCCTCTCCCCTCCCCTCCCCTCCCCTCCCCTCCTCTCCTCTCCTCTCCTCTCCTCTCCTCTCCTCTGGTCTACTTTACTCTAGTCTGCTGTGCTCTATTCTACTTTAAAGTGCTCTACTCTATCCCACTTTCCCCCTACTCATATTCCTACTCCTACTCTACTCCGCTCTCTTCTACTCTTCTCTACTCTACTCTGATCTGCTCTGCTCTGCTCGACTCTGTTCTGCTCGAATATACTCGTCTGTGAGAGAGCGCGCCCGTGGTACGCTCCCAAACGTGGGGCCCCCTCTCAGCTACCCCCCCCCGCTGGACCTCCCCTGCTGGAAGCCCCCGCCCCCCCCCCTTTTTTCCCGCCCCTCGAAAGCTGTCCCCCCTCCCCAACCCAACCCCCCTTCGCGCTCCGGAAGCTCCCCCCCCTCCTTCCAAAAGGGGGGTTGGCTTGGCTACCCCCCCCCCTCCCCTGGGACCTCCTCTGCCAGAAGCCCCCCCCCCCCCCCCCTCCTTCCCGACTCGTTTTCCCCCCCCCCCTCCCTCGGAAGCTCCCTCCCCCCTTTCCCGCTCTGGAAGCTACACTCCCCCCCTCCTTTTCCAAACGGGGGAGGGGGGGCTTAGCTGCTTAGTTCCCTACCCCCTTTGGACCTCCCCTGCCGGAAGCTCCCCCCTCTGGGACCCCCCCTGCCGGAAGCTCTCCCCCCCCTCTTTTTGTTCCCGCTCCTCGGAAGCTCTTCCCCCTCTCCCCTCCAGGAGGCGCCGAAAAACCGAAGGGCGCCGAAAACCAACGACGCGCCGAAAAGCAAAAAAGCGCCCCAAATCAAAAGGCGCGGAAAAACAAAAGAGCGCGGAAACCCAAAAGAACACCAAAAACCACGAGGGCGCCACCAAGAAAGGCGCCGTAAACCAAACGGGCGCCGGAAACAAAAAGAGCGCCGAAATCCAAGAGAGCGCCGAAGTCCAAAGGCGCGCCCGAAACCAAAAGGGCGCCGCCAACCAACTGGTCGCCACATTCAAAAGGAGCGCAGGAAACCAATGGCACGCCGAAAACCAAAGGAGCGGTGAAAACCAAAGGAACGCCGAAAACCAAAAGTGCGCCGAGAACGCAAATGGCGCGACCACAAAAAAGGCGCCGAAAGCCGAAGGAGCACCGATAGCCAATAAAGCGCCGAAACCCGAAAGGGCGCCGAAAACCGAAGGAGCGCAGAGAACCAAAAATGCGCCGAAAACCAGAAGGGCGCCGATAACCACAGTGGCGCCAAAAACCAAGGGGGCGCCGAACATCAAATGTGCACAGGCAACCAACAAAGCGTCGAAAACGAAAGGGGCACGGCGAACCCAAAGAGAGCCGAAAACAAAGGAAATCGCTGAAAACTTGACGAGACCCCAAAAAATCAAGATGGTCCCGAAAACTACCAATAGAGCGCCAACAAAACCTTAGGACGCCGAAACACAAAGAGGCGCCACAAAGCTGAAGGGCCGCCGAAAACAACAATGCGCCAAAAACCAAAAGGGCGCCGAACGCCAAGGGACCCCGAAAACGAGCGATGCCCTGAACACCCACGAACTGCCGAAAACCAAAGAGGTGCCGAAAACCAAAGAGGCGCCGAATACTGAAGCGGCACCGCAAACCAAATGGACGCCCCCCTCCCTTAGAACCCCTCTGCCAGAACCCCCCCCACCTCCCCTGTTCGGCTAAAGGAAGGAGGGGGCTAGGAAGGCCCCCCCTTTTGGCTAAATGAAGGGCGCCGAAAGCTAAAAGAACGCCGAAAACCAAAGACGCGCCAAAATCTTGAAGGGCGCGAACAACAAAAAGCACCAAACAACCAAAGAGGCGCCAAAATCCGATGGGGCGCCGAAACCCAACAGAGCACCGAACAACAAAAGAGCGCCGAAAATCAAAAGAAACCGAAAACCAACGGAACGCCGAAAACTAAAGAACTACCGAACCCCCAACAAACACCGACAACCAAAAGAGCGCCGAAAACCAACCGGGCGCTGAAAACCCAAAGGGCGCCAAAAGCAAAGGGGCGACGAAAACCAACCGACGCCGAAAACCAAACGAACGCCGAAAACCAAAGAGGCGCCGAACATCAAAAAGGACGCCGAGATCCAACGGGGAGCGCCGAAAAACTAAAGATTTGCCGACTACCAAACGATCGTTGAAAACCATGGCGGCGCCGAAAAACAGCAGGGCGATGAATTACAAAGGAGCGCCGATATCCAAAGAGGCACCCAAAACCAACGGAGGGAGCCGAAAATTCATAAAGCGCCGAAAAGCAAAGAGATGCCGACAACCAAAGGCTCCGAAAACCACTGGGGCGCTGAAAACCAAAGGTGCGCCGACAACCAAAGGGGCGCCGAAAACCCAAGGGGCGCCGAACACCAAAAGTGCGCCGAAAACCAAACGACTGGCGAATACCACAGGACCGCAGAAAACCCGAAGGGCACCGAAAATCAAAGGAGCACCGACAACTAACAGCGCCGAACACCACAAGGTCGCCGAAAACCCGACGCCGAAAACCATAGGGGGCGCCGAAAAGCAAAGGGGCGCTGAAAACCAAAAGGGCGGGCGCCGAAACCCAAAGGGGCACCGAAAACCAAAGAGCGCCGACAACCAAGAGGGCGCCAAAGATCAAAGGGGCGCCGAACAACAAAAAAAACACAGAGAACCAAAAAGGCACCGAAAATCAGAAACGCGTCCCCAACAAAACCTCGAAAAACCAGCCCCTCCTCTTCCGTGTGCCGCCGTTCCTCCTCCTCCACCACCTCCTCGTCCTCTTCCTCCTCGTCCTCGTCTTCCTCCTCCTCCTCCTCCACCTCGTCGTCGTCGTCCTCAACCGCCGCCTCCTCCCTTTGTGCTCCTCGTGCTTGTCCCCCTCCTCGTCGTCGTCGTCCTCTTCCTGGTCCTCCTAGTCCTCCTCCTCCTCCTCCTCCTCCTCCCCCTCCTCCTCTCCATTCCCGCCCTCCTGCCCAACCTCCGTCGCATACATCCGCGCAAGCAAAACCCCGCATCCGAAACCAGCCAACCCCTTCCACGACGTCAGAATCACCGCCCTGAGCGCACCAAAACAAACTTGAGGGATCCACGAACCTGGTAAGGAACTAAATCATACTTTCTTATGACGCGCGTGCCGCATTTTTTGTTTAATCGCTTCGCCCATTCCGCCGGCCCATATTGTCGCATCTCTTCCGTTCGCCTGAGGGCTCGTTGTGAATCTGGCGTCGTTCGACTCTCTTGACAGGAATCTCGGGAGCTCCCTGCAGGGGCCTCTTTGGCCGTCTTGGGGCCATCTTAGGCCGTCTTGGGGCTCTTTTGGGCGTCTTGTGGCGCTCTTGGGACCAGTTGGGGCCGTCTTGGGCGCCTCTTGGGCCGTCTTGTGGCCATCTTGGGCCGTCTTGGGGCGCTCTTGGGCCGTCTTGGGCCCATCTTGGGGCCTTGTTGGGCCTTCTTGGGGCAATCTTGGTGGCCTTGTGGGCAGTTTTGGACGCTGTGACACCTGAATAATTGCATATGCAGGGAATAAGTTTTCCCGAGGGAGTTGTGCAATTTTTGCTTCTTGGGGCGTTCTTGGAGGGCCTCTTGAGGCACTCTTGGGGCTTCTTGGCGGCTTCTACGGCCATCTGGAGGCCATCGTGACCGACACGGGGCGATCTTTCGGCGACTGGAGGCCCTCTCGGACTGTCTCGGGGACGTCTTGGAGACCTGTTAGTGCCCTCCTGGAGCGCTCTGGGGGAGTGGGCCAGGACCTGGCGGGGGTACTTTTCGTCTGGGGGCCCCTAGGGGCCGCCCCGCGCGCGCGCGAACTAGAAATACTGTTAATCAGTTACCGAAGATCTTAGCACGCCTCTGGCCCGTTGGGCCAGCGAATTTGCTTGTCTGCAGCCGCTACCGCGTGCAAGTCCTGCGTATCCTCCTCCTGCTCTCCTGCTCCTCCTGCTCCTGCTCCTCCTCCGTTGCCCCCCCCCCCTCCTCCGAGAACGTCACTGTACACGCAAGTGACTCGCCACCAACAGGCTGAGTCCCCCTGGGGCTCCGTGGGCACGTGAGAACGCTCTCGCATCGCGCGCGCGCGCGCGCCGGGGGCATGCTGGCCCCCCCCCATCCGCGCACGTGTTCGTGCGTGCAAGGAGTTCGCCATCTGCCAGCTGTGCCCCTCGCCTGCGGCCCCGTCGTGGCCCGAACCCGCGCGAAAACACATGCTGCTCCGCGCGCGTGCGCCAGGCGCACGGCGGGCCCCCTGTTGCACAACCCCCGGCTGCGGTGTGAGAGGCGCGGGGCGGGGGGGTAACTTCCGAAGCGCCCCGCCCTTTGAAAAGGTAAGCCCGGGCAGGCTTCGGCCCCGGAAGAGATCAGAAGTGAAAGGGGTGCCTTCGAACCCACCCCCTCGGCAACGCAATCCCAGCTGCGAACGACGCTCTATTTCTGAGTTTGACGATTGTTGGGACGCCATTGGAATGGTCACAGGAAGCCTTTGCATCAGCAGAGGCAGCCATGGCAATAGTTTGGGGCGAAGTAAAAGGGAGGGGGACCAGTTCTTTGCTCCATGGAGCTAGGACTCCTATAGGCAAGCCTGTCTGAAGAAAAAGGAAAGCTTGTAGAGGAACAGGATAAGCCTGTAGGAACGCATGGGGAGGCGACGGGACTGGACCGTTTAGTGCAGCGTCGCTGATGCATCCTGGGCACCTCTGGTCCTCCTCCTCCTCCTCCTCCTCCTCTCCCTCCTCCTCCTCCCTCCTCTGTTCCTCCATCTTCTGTACACCTCCCCCTCTTTTCCCTTCCCCTCCTCCGCCCCCCCCTCCGCCTCCCCTGGTAATGCTGCTCCCCCTCCTCCCGCCCATCCCCCCTCCCCTCCCCGCCCTCCCCCTCGCATAATGCTTGCTTCTTCGGGGTGCTTCGGGATAGGCTCGGGAGCGGCCAAGAGGGGGGTGTCCAAGAGGGGGGGGTGCAAATCATGACCGGCGGCATGTGCGCGGCCCAGCGGGGGGGCCAAGGACGTAATGAAACAAGAGGCGCCATGAAATCTGGGGAGATATCATGGCCCACGCCATGATATCCACCCCCCCCTAGTCATCCCCCCGTTCTTTTCCGCCCCCCATGGGCTGACTGTGGTCCCGATGTGGTCCCAAAACCTCCCTTGCCCTCGCCGTGTCCTGCAGAAGCCTCACAGAGCTGCCGCCTCGAGGTGGCCCGGGGCACGCGGGCGCAGCACGGATACGCACCACGCAGCACGCGTGTCGGCACGGAGCTCAACACGTTGGGCTGAGCACCCCGGTCTGGCGCGCTGCGTTCGCCGCAGCGTGGGCCCACGCGTGCCGAGCCAGCACGCGGCGTGCTGACGCAGACGTCTTGAACACGGTGCGTGCTGCGCTTGAGAGCAGGCGTGCAAGGCAGCTGGTGCTCCTGCGCCACGGCGTGCGACGGGGTCCGATGGGTGCGTCCGCGTCGTCCAGAGGGGACCCCCCCTGGCGGGACGACTGCCCCCAGACCCCAGAGAGATCCCGCGCTCTCTCCCACCTCGACTCTGCTTCGTGCTCCCTCTCGCCCCCCTTCCCCCTCCCTGCCCTCCCTGCCCTCGCCGCCCTCGCCGTCGTCCTCTCATCCCCCCCGCTCCCCCACCCTCACTCCTCCCGCCCCCCGCCCCGCTGCCTCGCCCCTCGGCCTCCGGGGCGAAATCGGCCTTCTTGTGCAGGTCCTCCCCTTCCCAGGAGGCCGGGGTGAGGACGAAGGAGCAGGATGAAGAGGAGGAGCAATGATCAGTGTAAGCCCAAGAGTTATCAACGATGTTAGAATACACCCTCCCTCCAAGCTCCCTCCTCATAGTCCCCTACAACGGTTCACTTCAGCTGAGGTAACTACCTCGTTGGAAGACAGCCGCTTGAAGACCCTGAAGCATGCCACAACATTGTTCTCGGGGATTCCAACGCCACGAACTAACCTGACTGCTGCGTCTTGACGATCCTGAATCGTGCCAGAAACCATTTCTGGAACTACAACACCGCGAATCAACGTAACTGTTGCGCCCTCATAACCCTGAACCCTTCCAACATACAATTTCTGATGCGCTGATCATAAGATTCCGTGAAACTCTTGCAACATTTAAGAACGAATGTGCGCGGCACTGAAACGAGAACCACATTTTGAAAAGGAACCGCCCTCAATCCGTGAAGCTCTTGCGTTTTTAACACGAATGTACACGGCGCTAAGGCGAGAGCCACATTTTGAAAACGGGTCGCCCTCAATCCGTGAAACTCTCGCATTTCTTAACAACGAATGTGCGCAACGCTAAGGCGAGAACCATATTTTGAAAACGGGTCACCCTCCATTCGTGAGGCTCTTGCAAGCTTTTGAAACGAATGTGCGCGGCGCTGGAGCGATAGCAACATTTTGAAAACGGCTCGCCCTCCATCTGTAAAGCTGTTGTCAAAGTTTCATATTCAGGGTCAGACATGGTGAGGAAGTCTCAAGCGAAACGCCCGGCCCGCCCTAAAAACTGGCCTCGGGGTGCGACAGGGAAAACTTATTGATAAGGAAAAAGAATTGGTGATGACGGCAAAAGGCGGCGCCGGCGACGACGACGACGAGGAGGATAATGATGCCGACGACTGTGATGATGATGATGACGCTGATGATGATGATGACGAAGATGATGACGACAATGCTGATGATGATCATGACGATGGCGATGACAATGATGTTGCTACGGTGATGGTGATGATAATGACGCAGATAATGATGCTGACGATGAGGACGATGATGATGACGACCCTGATGATGACGAAGAAGATGATGGTGATGATGATGATGATGATGGCGATGATCATGACGACGATGATGATGATGATGATGTCGATGATGATGATGATGGCAATGACCATAAAGCTGATGCTGATAATTATAATGATGATCATAATGATGATGGTAACGATGATGATGCTGACGATGATGCTGATGGCGACGATGAAGGTGACGATGATGATGACTACTACGACGACGGTGATGATGATCATGACGGTGCTGATACTGATGATGATCACGACGATGATGATGCCGATGATGATGGATGGTGACGATGATGACGATGATAATGATGATGATGCTGATGATGATGGTGATGTCGATCAGGACAATGATGATGACAACGATGATAACGATGATGATGATGATGACGATGGTGATGACGACGGGGCTGATGACGACGATGATGATGATGACGATGACGATGCCGATGATGATAATGATGATGGTGATGATGACGACGATGCTGACGACGATGGTGGTGATAACGGTGATGATAATGATGACGATCATGACAGAGGTGGTGATGATGACGATGATAATGATGACGATGATGATGACGACAATGATGATCACGATGATGCTGCCAATGCAGATGATGATAATGATGACACTGATGCTGATGACCATGACAACGATAATGACAACCACAATGACAATGATGATGATCGTGCTGATGATGATGACGATGATGATGATGATGATGATGGCGATGCTGATGAGGATACGGACAATGACGCTGATGATGATCATGACGACGATGAAGATGCTAATGATGCTGACGATGCGGATGCTGATGCCGATGATGACGATGATGATGCTGATGGTGAGGATCACGACGATGATCATGATGATGCTGATGGTGGGGATGATGATGCTGGTGGTGATGATGATAAGTCCAGGGATACTGATGATGGTGATGATCACGACGATGATCATGATGATGACGCTGATGATAATCATGACGATGATGTCAGTGCAGTTGTTTTCAGCAAAGACCGCGCGGCAGTCCAACTGCGGGTGCGTCCCAGGGCCCTAGGACTAGGGCCAAAACAGCGGCGGGCAGCGTGCATGCCACAAAACAAGACAAGCGTGTACAACATACACACATGGTGGCACGGGCGGCAGAGGGGCAGGGGAGTGCACTCTTCACACTGGGTGGGTACAATGCTGCCCCGATGCCGCTCCCTCTGAAAGGGCAACGCTGCACGCAATTATAATGTATATCAGCCCACGGGCCGAAACACCTCAAGCAGATGCGGCCTGAGGCTCGAAATATAAATATGAATGTCTAGATTCACCAATCCAGACTGTCAACTCAAAAGATATGCATAAGACACCTCAAGCAAGGTGCGGCCTGAGGCTCAAAATATAAATACAGGAATATGAATATCTGGATACACTACTCCAGACGATCAACTCAAAGGATATGCATACATCACCGTAGCTCTCACTAGGTCCGTCAGCAGCTGCAATCAGGACCTCACGGGCTCGCAGGCCCTGGAACGGCGACCCGACGCTGGGCCTTCCGCTCCTTGGCTCGCTCACGCTGTCCGCGGCGCAGCCGCAGACGGTGTGCCTCCTCATCCTCTTGCTCAGCAGTAGGCACCATGCTGAACAGGCCGTGGCGGAGGAACTGCGATAGTACCTCGTTAGGCTGCACGGCTTTTGTCAACACATCCGCTAGCATGTGGCTATTAGGCAGCCACTTGAACTTGATGGCCTCCTGCTCTATCAAATCCTTGGCCACCAGCAAGTCAATGAGGGTCTGCCGAGACACCGGCATCGACCCGATCTTGGACGTGTGATCGTAGAGCGACTTCGCATCCGTCACGAGCGCCCCTGGAACCTTCAGCGCCAGCCTCCAGTCCCCTTGCAAGGGCGGCTCCCCGTACAAGATTGCCTCAATCAGCAGCCTGAGGTAAAGCTGCCGATCCAAAGCCACGGACATAGCCGCAGATTCTGCGGCCATCGTAGATCCAACAACTCGTGTAATAGTACTGCTCTGAAACTCCACTAGACAGCATACGGTTAGCTCCTTCAAAACTCGGGTGTCCGTAATCATACTCATGAACCCCATCTGGCTCTTACAGCCGGGTTCCTTCGCAAACGAAGCGTCCATAAGCGTGAGCACCTGCAAGCGCTCGATGTCCACGCGGCGGATCCGGAGAGTCGCAAGACCTCTCTTGTCGTAGTCCTGAAGCCGGTCGATGATGTCATTGAGCACTCGCAGGTGCAGCAACCTCCGACCTTTCGGATCCTTCTGTGCGAGCGCCGAGACACTATACGCGAGTTGTGGCACCACGCGTGCGACAGGCCACCGCACCTTCTGGAGCAAGCTCCGGTAGTCGTGGTGCTCCTCGGGAGTCATCTCCCGCTCCTCGTTGTCACCCCTTGCAAGGGGGTGCTTCGTCAGCTTGCCGATGTACTCGTGCATGCTGATCTCGATGTGATCAGGGTGGCGCCACCACTCCTCACCGAGATAGGCGATTGCCTCCTTGTCGTTGCCCTTCTTCCAGTGCTTGATGTTGAAACGACTGTTGATGTTCGCCTTCACCTCCTGGTACTGGGGATCGTGTGGGTCTCCAAACAGCATGCCGTCATCGACGTGCAAGGTCAACATAGCGATCAACTTGTCTTTCATTCGATAAGCGAAGACAGCTCGAGCACAGCGCAGCTCCACGAAACCGACCTCGTCCGTCAACACCTGGCGGGCTCGGAGATACCACAACCGAGGCGCCTCAGTCAGACCGTACGCCCCTTTCAGCAAGCGCAGCAACGCATAAGGCCGCACGGCTGGCCATCCAGCACCGTCGACGGCTGGAAGCCCGTCCTTAGGAGCCCTCACATACAGCTCCCGTTCCAGCTTCAGCCCGGACAGGAACGCAGTCGCTACGTCGAAACATTCGAATGTCCAATCCATCGCCATTGTGATAGACGCACACACCAGCACAGCCAAAGGGGAAGTAGTAGGCGAATCCGTCCTGAATAGACCAAGCTGCGGATCGAGATGGCCAGGGATGATCAAGCGAGACTTCGCCTCCAGCTCCGGCCCTCGTCCCCGGTTCGTGCGAACCGAACGCATGGGCACCGAGATGATCTTGTCCTTCGGGATGCTCTTCTCCTCCTCCTCGGTGACCAGCTCGACCGTGTTGTTGGCGATCCATTGCCGCCACTCGGCGGCATCGGCCTCGTCGAACTTAGCCTTCTCGTGCTGGTTGAAGTGACGTGGGTCTAGCTCCTTCGCGTTCTGCTTCATCACGAGTGCGAACACGTCGTGCTCGTACCTGGCCTCCTGCAGCCATGCGTCATACACAGATGACACGTTGATCCATTCTTCGTAAGTCATCGGCTGTCGTACAAGCCCCTCCGGAGTGTCCAAATAGTACACCCCTTGTGCATGAGCGTCCGGCTTGTCGTGGTAGAAAAGCGTGAGACCAACCCAGCTGTCCTCCGTGCGCTCGTTGGTACGGTTCGCGCCGTCGTCCTTGTAGGCACACTGGCCCGTAGCGGAGAGCATCACCGAGAGGCGATTGCACTCCCGGTGGCGGTCGTGATCATAGAGTCTCCGCCGTGGCTCTCGGTGTACACGTACTCCTCGTACGACCTTCTGAACGAGCGTGGAGACACCATCCAAGGCATTCTGGTCGAACCACTCCTGAGGCCCCGAGTGCACAACGGCGTTCATGGCCACTTCGCGGAGGGCCGGCAAACCACTCGTAGGAGCAGCCTGCAGACGCGTCTTCTTGATGCAAATCGGCACGTCATCTACCAGGAACTTCCGTTTTCGCTCAAGCTCGAAATCGTCTCTGGGAATCGGCGGCACCGAAGGGCCGCCAGAGCCCGATGCTCCCGGAGAGGCCTTCGGGTACACCTCAGAGGATATCCGCCCTGGAG